GGTGGGAGCGCCGCCACGCTTCCCAAGTGGTGCACTATCCAGTGCGCCACCGGGCCGGCCCCCAGCTCAGTTTTAACTCTTGCTTGGTCCTCTCGTCTGATGACAATGAGACAGCTCGACCTATTAGGATATATAAGGCACTGCCTAGTTCTGTATGCGGCTGTTCCCGCTTTGAGAGGGCAGCCCACCCGCTTGCTCCTGAAGCCCTCCAATATACATTCTGGCTGAGTTTCTGTCTCTCAGTGTAATTCCTTGCAACTCCGGGCCATCCCTTTCAGACCTGAAAAGTGAAATGAGTTTATCTGATGTCACAAAGCTTATTTGTGTCTTGTCCTCCTGGATGTCTTCTATGAACTTATCTATCTTTATCTAGATGAACTATCTTTTATCAATAATAAAACATGCTATCCATATAACCACTGTCTTAAAGTTGTTAAAAAACATGCATTAATGTTTCATGGTATAGAATAAAAGAAGGGTTGGGGAATTGAGGGCACAGGAATGTTAGAAATGATAATTTTCTGGTACCATGTGTTGATGCTCATTGGCCATTTTTCAGAAGATCAGTGTTGAGAAACACTCAGGTTTCTGTTCTCGTTGAGTGTTGCTCTCTTTTCCCTGTATTGTATTCTTTTGTGTAGAACCAGAAAGTCTGCATTTGTTTTAGACTGAATGCCCCTTATATAGCCATTAGTCATCAAGAGCATTAAAGGAATTGATACTTGTAAGGATAATATGTAGTAATCCAGGTTGCAGAAAAGTGTGAGATTCATTTTAAAATGTCTTACATGAATGAGTTAATAGTCTAGTTTTATTGCACCAAGGGTTAAGTTTTAGTCATTTGAAACATTTCTTTTTGAGAAATATTGGATTCCTCCAAGGTGCCAAATGAATGAAGCACTAATTGTGTGAGACTGAATACATGCCGAAGACAACAGACTGTAGAAGTGCATTTGAGTTAAAAAGCCATATATTTAGAAGTTTTGAAGAAAAACTGATTACCCCTAATATCTCCCACACACCATTTGCTCCAAATAAGTACCATTTTTTATTATCAATCTGCCAGTGGTCTATCCCCCATCAGCCCCCTCAACACAAAAATCTTTGAAATTGGGTAAATGTTGAGAACCTTAGATTTTGGACTTTTAGTTCAAGTTTGTGTTTTGTATTAGTTTTTTTTTTTTTTTTTTTTTAATGATAAACCAAAGGTCTTCAGCTGTATTTTCTTGAATTTCAGATAAGCTGTTGCCAGGTGATGGAGGAGCCCTTCGGTTACACCTGATGCATTATTGTGAAGCATGTACAGCACCTAAAATGCCAGAGTTCATTCTGTACGCTTTTCACAGTGCATACCAGAAACTCCAGTGGAAGGACCTCCACCCCGACCAGATGCTCATGGAGGCCTTCTTCAAAGTAAGCCCTCTACTCTCCAGGTCACAGCCTGGGCAGCTCTGGCTTCTAGCAGCAGCCTGTTCACTGCGGTTGGGCACGTGGCAGTGTGTGTCACAGCGGACTGTGCCCACATTCTGTGTTGCCTAAATAGTGCTATGGGAAGCAGTGTCCCATGGGAAGCATTTCATTGTGTCAATAGATGATTGGGAAACGTCTTTAGGACCATTTTTAAAACCCAGAGAAAGATTTTATCTGTAGTATGTTAGTCATCCCACAGGCTTTCGCAATGATGTTGTGTGAGTACATAGTTTAATGACTTTGTCACTCTCAGTCTTGGTGTGTCCCGACCCGCAGGATATTCAACGCAGACCCTGGAGGGGGGAGTGGGAATTGGATGGGACAAGAGACGCGAGAAATGGAGACAAGACAGTATTCTGATCAAGTCTCGTTTATTATCCAGAAGGTCACAGCTTATATAGCCAGCAGGAGGGAATCAGCAGATAAGGAAGTGAGCAGCAGATGGTTTACTGAGAAAACCGCAGGGCGGGTTGTTCTGGAAAATCGAAAATTCCCGTTATCTATGGCAAGTTGCAAAGTTACCTACATCCATAGTGCACAGGAGGGGGAGGGACGGAAGATAACAGCAAACAAGGCTCTGAGGCCTCGAGGCAATAGCTGGGCGGACTCTTTGGCTCCGGACAGGCAGGCAGGCAGCTGGGCTCTATGGCTCCGGACATTGGTGGGTGTTCGTGTGTATGCATGTTTTTGTGGGATAGTGTCATTAGAACTTCTTGTTGTTAAATGTTCTATCAAAGCAAAATGCAAATTGGTGCTTAAGCCATTAGTTTCATTTGTAGTTTCACAAGTAAATAATGAGATTATAGATGATAAAATGCATTGTAACAACTGATGATGCATCATAATCAGATGAAGACCTGAAATCACCTGAAGAAAGTGCCAATAAGTGCGAGTCTTTGCAGTAGAAGGAATAGTTACAGAGAGCAAGCTCTGTAGAGTAACTTATGTGTCAGTCAGGCATTTGGAGCTGTTTTTGTTGTTCTTATTTTCTATTTTAAAAAAACTCTTTATGGGCCAGCCCTGTGTCTCACTTGGGAGAGTGCGGTGCTGGTAGTGCCGAGGCCATGGGTTCGGATCCTATATAGGGATGGCCGGTGCACTCTCTGGTTGAATGTGGTGCAGACAACACCGTGCCGAGGGTTGCAATCCCCTTACCAGTCAAAAAAATAAAAGTAAAAAAATAAACCCTTTATAATCTTAGGTTTTTACGATAGTTTCAGTTCATTTGTTCATAGTCATCAATTCATTTGTGTTTACTCTTAATTTTTATCATTTATGATTTATTACTGAGACACTTATTATTGAGACACTTTAAGTGCTTTAACTGATACATGTCTGCAGTTATTTATGACTGTAAAGCTACACAACTATGCCAGTTGTTGAGTAAGGAAGATCATAACTAAAGATACTAAGTTTCCATTTATATTGTCAGGGCCAGGGCTCAGCTCCTTCAAACCCATTGTACATGCTAGATCCCCAGACCCCTGATATGCCAGGCTGGGTCCCCAGACCCCTCACACGTAGGTCCATGCTAGGTAATTGGGAAAGATCCCAGGAGCCTTTGGCAGACAACATGAGCTCAGTTCGCAGCAGCAGCAGCAGTAGCAGTAGCTAACAGCAGCCTCCAGCAGCAGCGGTGGCAGCCTCTTGGAGGGTCCCGGGGGACACTGGCAGCAACAGCCTCCAGCAGCAGTAGTGGCCCCTCCGGGGGCATCCGAGGGTGGGGGGCACTGTGGGTCGGTGCCACTCATCCTTTATACTTAAGTCCATAACCCAGGATACCTGGGTGCACCTGTGCAATTACATTAGACAATAACCAAGGAACACCTGGGTGCATGTGCATATTTACATCAAATGCTCGGCAGGATTCTCAACATCTGAGGGGCCCCTAACCATTTTCCTTTACTTTCCCAACAATGACAATTGGTAAATGTACTTGAGTCTTTCGGTGCTATTAACAAAACCCCTCCCAGTGCTGCTCTCATCAGCCTTTCCTCTGTAGTTGATCTCTAAGGAAAGCCAAGGGCAGTTCTTTTAGAATACCAGGTTTAGGAATGATTTTACAGTTAGATTTAGAATATGCGGCAGACACTAAGTAGATATTTATTACCATTATGAACACATGAGAGAAAGTTGGTTTAAACAGCTGTAAGATAGAATCTTAACTAAGTAAGAGGGATACCTTAACTGTAAGACAGATTAAATAGTAGAATGGTCTGTTAAGGGATGCTGTAGACTCTGTCTCTAGGGGTTTTATTCCAATGGTAGATGGCCCTGACGTGCCCAGGAGCTAGGAATATTTTAATTATTTGCATCTTGTTGGCATAATAAAATGGGTTTTTTTGCAGGGTTGAGGGCGAGGGTAGAGAACAGATTGTAAAGGAGGATGAAGAATCGTTTTCTGAAAGGAAGGGAATCAGTAGTTAGCATAGTATAATAACTATGATGGGAAGAAGGGATTCATCACCAAATTCCATTCATAATGATTTTATAAATGGAGTAGTGCTTTTAATCTTCATTTTTAAAGGAAAAAGTTGTGATTAGCCACGTTTTATTTTAAATAATTTAGAAATATTGAAATAGGCATATAAAAGATAACTTTGAAGTTGATTATGTACTTTATAGTACTTTTGCTCCCTTCCATCTCTAATATATTTTAAATAGAATTTAAGCATTATACAGTCATCAAAAATTATAAAGACTAATGATGTGGAGACGTTTTTATATTATAACATTGCATTAAAAGGCAGTACAAATATTATATATACTAGTGTAGAAGGTCTCAAAGTGTGGTCCTGGGGACAGCAGTATCAGCATCACCTGGGAACTTGTCAGAAACATACATTCCTGTTCCCAGCCCATACCTGGGAAATTCAAAATTCTAGGGGTGGGCCCAGCAATCTGTGTTTAATAGATCCTCCAGATGGTTCTGATGCCTACTCAAGTAGATCTCAACTTTTGTCCTGACTTGGCACACCTCAGGATCCCAATGTGTTCCCTGCAGCTCCAGGGACTTACTGTGGCAGGGGTTTTTCACTTTGGTTGGGTTAGGGAAGGTCATTCCTTTCCTGTTAAGATTATTGAATTGGATAATGAAATCTGAACAAACAGACAGGCTCAAAATTGCACACATACACTGAACATGGAAAGAAAGATATTATAAATATTATAATTATAAATCTCTGGGGGGTGGCATTATGTGTGATATTTATAATGTGGGGAAGTACTGGTTTTTAAGATATAATTTATGAAACATTGATTTATACATATTTTTGAGGTACATAGACAGCATAAAGCAAAACACTGATTTTAATTTATTTCATTTTAGGTGGAACGAGGAAGTCCCAAGAGCTGTTTCTTATTTTTGGGGTCTGTACTCTGTGAAGTCAATTGGGTTAGTGTGCTGTCTGATGCCTGGAATCCCAGTCCCCACCCAGAAACCCAGAGTATGATTGTCTGCCTCCTTTTCATGATGATTTTATTGGCAAAGGAGGTCCAACTAGTAGATCAAACAGTAAGTTTGGGGAGCTTGTGATAAAGACTTGGCAAGGGTCCTTAGGTCCTCACTTTCTACTAGGTTGTAGTTTTTCAGTTGTTTCTCTAACGCCTCTATCAGTGTGAATAGATGTTTGGCATGTGAGATATACCTTCAGTTAGATGCTTGATTTTCTTGGATAACTCATTATCTAATTCAAAATTATGAAAAGGACCATAATGAGTTAGAATATATTAATCAGTTTTGTTTTACATCTCATTAATTCCTTAGCTTAATGTCCTATATCCTTTGTGAAGTCAGTTTTGGTATGTACCACCAGAGCACAGAGTTCCTTTGAAAATTGTGCTCTAACTATTGGTAAATCTTAACATTAATGTGTTTTTGCCAAGACTTTGGTCATTGCTTTCACTGGTACTCCTACCTTGAATAGATACTTACTTGACAACAGTTCTGTGCTTATTATTATAGGCTATCTTAGTGGTTATTCTACAGACTAGTTAGAGACACATATTTCTAGGATAATGGGAGCTCTGGAACTAAAGGGATATGTGTTTCTTTTTTAGGATTCACCTTTACTTAGTCTCCTTGGGCAGACAAGCTCACTTTCATGGCATCTTGTGGATATTGTGTCATACCAGAGTGTGCTAGGTTATTTCAGCAGTCATTACCCACCGTCCATCATCCTGGCAAAGGAATCTTCTGCTGAATTAATTGTGAAGCTCCTAAAAGTGTCTGCGGGCCTTTGCATTTCTACTGACAGCCAGAAACATCTCGTAAGTTGAGAGCGTAGTTTAAAAGACAGGGAGTGTTCTTTGGGACTGATTAGTAGCATAAGTGCAACTGAGGACAGTCTTGAACCTGGTGACTGCCCAGCAGAGAAAGTTGAAGGCTGTGTATCACTGTATATGCATACTTTGGCCTCTTGGATCTTTTATTCTGATTTCTCTCTTTTGGTCAGCCTTTACTTACTAACAGTGTCACATGTTGGTGAGAGGTCAAAAGGATTGAGGCTGCAGTGCACTGCTGGTTTTGTGATTTCAGTGTCATTGGCAGCAGAATAGCAGGGAGGGTTATGAGTATGAGCTTGAGGTCTGACAAATTCAGATTCCCAACTCATTGCCATTCTGACCCTGGGCAAGTCCCTTAGTTTTTGACTGAATTGCAAATAATACCTTGCCTCAAAGTGTTGTGATGAGGAATGAATTAGATAAATCACATAAAAGTTTTTGGAAAACTTCCTGGCAAAGTAAGGTAGTGTTTAGTTAGTGTTGATATTAATGTAGTAAAAAAAGGAAGAGTGGTATGCTGAAATTTGGGAGAACACGGTTTCCAGTCAGTGTTACCACACATTTGCATATCCCTAGACACAGGCACACCTGTGGGCCACCTGGGATTAGGTCTTCATATAGCTTCTTGATCTGTCCTCTCCACTCTGTTATGCTGGAATTTGGGAGAACACGGTTTCCAGTCAGTGTTACCACACATTTGCATATCCCTAGACACAGGCCCACCTGTGGGCCACCTGGGATTAGGTCTTCATATAGCTTCTTGATCTGTCCTCTCCACTCTGCACAAGCTTTCAGTGCAGTGCCATGCACCCAGGGAAAACTCAGTTAACATTCCTTGTTTGGATTCATTTGAATGATCCTTTTTCTGTTTATCAGGATGCAGTTCCAAAATGCCGAGCTTTCACTCATCAGATGGTTCAGTTCCTCAGCACCCTGGAACAAAACGGAAAAATCACCTTAGCAGTCCTGGAACAGGAGATGTCTAAGCTCTTAGATGATATCATTGTCTTTAACCCACCTGGTAAGTGACCAGTGGGAAGTCACATATTCATTCAGTCAGTGAATTCCTTGTAACGCCTTGTGAGATCAGGAAGATGATCAGGACATGGTCATTCCTGTTTCCAGGGGAGCAGTGGTCAGAGATGTGTAGACACCAGGGACACTCAGCATTGGGGGAGGCATGAATGTTAAGAGCCTGAGGAGTGGTTGACACTGGCAGCTGCTGGTGTGAGGTGAACTGGACTGAAGATTAAGCTGGACAACTGTATTTAATTATCAGGAGATAACAGGAGACCTTCTAAGTAGTGATCATAGGGGTTTTGGCACCTAACTGGGAAAGCACTTCAGAATCACTTGTAGACTTGTAAGGAAACTTTATATGAAGAACTTCTTCTCCTAGCAGTTTGGTGAACTAAACATCTTGACTGCCTGTCCTGCTGAAAACAACTAAAAATGCTGGATAAATTGTTTTTAAGAAACCAAAAATTAAACTTATACCAATGAAGTGGCAAAAAGGTAAGGACATCTGTGAGGCTAGAAACTAAGTGAAAGGAGGAACCCATAAAGGTGGATGGAGGACTGAGGCTGGCTTTCACCCTGAAGGCTTTTGCTGACCCTTCTTAGAGTATTAGGGAAAGCGATAAAGCCCAGGGCCTGCCTGAGATGGGATCCGAAAAGGAGATCCCATGCATAATCCACAGGATGACATCTTTACTGTAGAAAATGAGCTAGAAATAAACCTGCTCTTGTGAGAGGAAAGCAAAGACAGTTTTCTGTTTTGGCCTTGGTGTTGGAACAGATGTCTTTGTGGCAGGGAAGACGATATCTATTTTGAAAATTGGTAAGTACAAACTGACCCTCATCTGGTTTTGAAGCAAGAATTCATACAACCTAGATTTTCCAAAACAAACAAACACAATCTCAATCTAAGAATTTAGCTAATGTAGTTCTTTTTTTAAAAAATTTATTTTCATTTGTTATGAATATTCATGTAGTATAAAGCAAATTGTCACCACTTGTACTTAATGTAGTTTTGGGTTGGCAATGCCAGCAGACATCTGGCAGAAAGCAACCATAGATCTTCTTTGGAGAAACTCATCTTCAACTCAGGCCTCAAAGTTCCAAGGAATTCATGGTAAAAAAAAATAAATAAATAAATAAATAAATCACAAAACATAAGGAAAAAAGGCACCACAAGCAAAAGTCTATACAGAACACTAGTCAACAGAGTCAGGACCAGTGCTCAAGTTAAAAGACAAAGATTGTCAGATTAGAGTATTTATTTATTTTGGCAGCTGGTGGGTACAGTGATCAAACCCTGGACCTTGTTGTTATCAGCACCATGCTCTAACTGAGCAACCTGACCAGCTCTAGACTAGATTAATAATCAACAACATCTAGCTTTCAGCTTTTTATAAGAAGTATATCTAAAGCAAAGGGATACAGTAAGCTTTCCATAAGATGGTCATATGAGACAAATATTAAAATAGGGAGTTGGCCTAGATGTATTAATATTAAATAAATAGGACTGTAAGGCAGAAAGCATTATAACAGCCAGATAATTTCTAGTGTGTTTTCCTGCCCTGAAGTTGCACGACAAAAAATAAACAAAAAAGAAGCATTAATAGAGATCAGCATTAGTAGAAATAAAGAATCATTGGAAATTGATAAAAGGCTTAATTCACCAAGAAGATATAATAATTCTAAACTAATTTGTACCTAATAAAACTGTAGAAGTTTAAATGCAGGAAGTGAAAATTGGCAGAACTAGGAAGAGAAATATCAAATTCACTCACAATGGGAGATTTTAGCATGTGTCACAGTAATTGACAGATCAAGTAGAAAATCAGTAAGGCTATAGGAAATTCAAATAGCATAGCTCCATATAATGGATACATAGAGAATGCTATGCCCTGTAAATGGAAAATGCAATGCCCTGTAAATGCAAAATGCAAAATCTATCACACGTGGAACATTTAAGAAACTTGACCCCTTAATAGGTTTAAGGCGAGTCTCAACCCAGTCAACCTCAAAGGACTGATATCAAACCGACTACATATTCTTTTTTTTTTTTTGTCTTTTTGTCTTTTTCCGTGTCCGGCAACGGATCGCAACCCTCAGTGTTGCCCCCGTACCGGACCAGGGACCGGCAACGGGACTGCAACCCTCGGTGCTGCCCCCGTGCCTCGCTCAGCCAGTGAGCGGGAACCGGTCCGTATGTGGGATCCGAACCCTCGGGCGGGAGCGCCGCCACGCTTCCCAAGCGGCGCACTATCCAGTGCACCACCGGGCCGGCCCCCCGACTACATATTCTAATCACAATGTAATGAGCTTAGAAATCAGTAACAAAATATAGCTAGGGGAGAAAAAAGCTATATAGTTTGTCAGAAATTATGACACAAACTTTTAAGTAACTAATAACCAAAGAAATAATCATAATAGAAACTAAAAATATTTAGAACTGAATAATAAATATAGTTCATCAAAACTTGTGGGATGCAGCTAAAGTGGGACTTTCTTTCATTGTCTTATATGTTTATGTTAGAATTTTTGAAAAAGTAAAAGTTAATAAAGTAAGCATCCAGCATAAGAAATTATTTAAAAAAAAAAAAACCCCAGTCAAATAAAACCAAAAACTGTAGAAGAAAGGAAATAATAAAGAGAAGATAAATAGGAAGAGACTAAGAATGAGGAACAATGAAACTGGCATACGTGTGGGTAAATCTAAATAAAATCTGACTGTATGAGTACAAAACAATAATAATAGTAATGTGTTACTGAGTTATGGCAAAAGAGGCGAAGGTGAAAGGAGTTAGAATGTTCCAAAGCCCTTGCATTGTCTGGGAGCCAATCAACATTAGACTTTGAAATCAAGAATGCATGTTGTAATTTGTAGGAAAACCACTATCAGAATGTTAAGAGAGTGTTTAACTTCCAAACTAAAAGGGAAAAAGTAGAATAATAAGAAATAATCCAAAAGGAGAAAATAAAAGAGAGAAAAAGGAATGTAGAAAATAGGAGAGACAAATAGGATGCATATAGTAAGGTAGTAAATTTAGACCCAACTGCATCAGCAGTTCATTAAATGTGAATGACTAAAATTGTCATGCTGGATAAAATGAGGAAGAAGAAGACAACCCAGTAGAAAAAAATAGGCAAGACCCTTGAATTGACATTCTATAAAAGAAAAATATCCAAATGACCAGCAAACATATGAAAAGGTGCTAAACCTTGTTAATAATTATACCTATTTCGTATAGGTATTGTAAGTACTGAATGAGATAATAGAGCTAAAATTTTAGCACCAGCCTGGTAAGTCAGTAACACTCAATGAATGTTAGAGAAGAAAGAAAAATCATCAAGCAGTGCTGGAGAGACTGTTCTAGAATTGGTCATATGTGTTTGGGCCATGAAGGTTGAGTAATTGCTGATCAGAGAAAGGGGAAAAAAATCTTAATCAGACGAGTGATAGGATCAGCTCTGGTTTTTAGGAAAACATTTGTTGGCCATGTTGATGATGAACAGGAAGAGGAGAGGCTGGATTCTGTTAGGAGGCTCATTGTAGTAATTTGTTCCTATGAGTCATAAAAAAGATAAATTAAAATTAAAATTGCTGTTCAGTTGAAATTCAGAGATAGGGTCTTTATTACCAAGAATATTTATACCCACAGAAATACATGAAAAAATATATATTCATACACACATATACTGTTAATCTCTCAGTTTCTGCCTGATAATAAGTAGGTCTACAGTGACATTAAGTGAGGGTTTATTTAGCGCTGGACAAGTAGGTGAATTTGTTTTGATAGATGTGATGAGTAAGATCTCCCAACTTCTTATGGTTCCCATTGATATAAATACTTAATCCTTGTGGTGAGAAAGCCACAGTTCTGTTCCATAAAAAAAATTTATGCAAGTCATAGTCCTCAAAACAAATGGTATAAACCAGAATCTATATAATAATGATCCATGATATTAATTTTCCTGTTCTCATCACTTTTGTTAAAATGAATTTTCATGAAAGTCCATTTATTGCTTCCTATCATGCCTTTTAAATTGTTATGATGGGGTCACTCCTGTACTTCCCCCTGCCCCCCTCACCCCCTTTTAACTCAAGGAGAGCTAAAACAATAGTTGGCAAAAATTATGCCTGTTAGCTATCAGTGAAATATATTTTCTGTCTTTGAATGTGAAGAAGGAATCTCCCTCAGCAACCTTCTCCTACTCATTTGCAATTCTCTTATAAAATGAACTTGCTCTTTTTCTTGCATTCTACTCTTTCACCTCCACTTTTTTTTTGAAAGACCCATTTATATTACCAGTCTGTATACTTAAAGAACAAAGAAACAAACGAGCTGGTGTTAGGAACCTTTAAAAAGGTTTTTCCTTACTTTTATATTTAGTTTTAAGTAATAACTTTTATTCTGTGTAAATTACCCTAGAATATCAGCAGCATTGGCAGTGGTAGTGGAGAGGGTGGGGAATACTGTTGCTAAATTTTACCAAGTTTACCAAGTGACTGCCAGTATCTATGTATTTGGTTTTACAAGAGCAAAGGTTGGAAAATAAGGACTAATTAGGTGTGTTCTGGTAAATTAGTTACTCTTTCACAGCAGCTTGATGTATGTCTATTTATTAAGATACTGATCTGCCACACTGCTGTACCCAGGGAAATCATAGTAGCTTCTACTTTTGCTCTTACAAAATACTTATGTGCCACATCCCATCCGTAAAAGCTAAACACCGTGCAGGGCTTTCCTATTGGTCCCTTGCGATCAGCCACTAGAATTGTAAAATCTGCCAGAGAGCAGCTAAGATTGAAGCACTGTTGTTCTCTTGATCACATTCCTATCACCATTCCAGCAGCCTTTCTCTAGTGTGCCTGTGTTCCCCTGCAGACACGGACAGCCAGATGCGCCACATGGCCCTCAGCAGCCTCTTTATGGAAGTCCTAATGATGATGAACAATGCGACTGTTCCAACGGCAGAATTCCTTCGGGGCAGTATCCGGACATGGATTGGCCAAAAAGTGCATGGGCTGGTGGTGCTGCCCCTTTTAACAGCAGCCTGCCAGAGCCTGGCTTCTGTCCGCCACATGGCTGAGACCGCAGAAGCCTGCATCACTGCCTATTTCAAAGAAAGTAAGAGAGGATGTCATCTTATGCTCTCATTATATTGGTATTTTCCAGGAAAGATTAAAGCTTTGTCATCAGGAGGTATCTTTCCAGACCCTTCCTAGTGAGGAAACTGTACCATTCTAATTTCTGCTCTGTAAATGTTATTGATATTTCAGAATATATTTTGTCTTTTTCATAAAGATCTGCAGTTAGCATAAGAACCTATGATATGTCTGTTGGTACAATCAAGTTTCAAGGAAGAAAATCTCTAATTCATTTTACATTGCTTTTTGAGCACCAGACCAACCCTTTTGTGATTAAGTCACCAGCCAAGTCAGAGTCCTCAAGACAAATGGTATAAACCAGAATCTATATAATAATGCTCCATGATGTTAATTTTCCCTGTTTTCATCACTTTTGTTAAAACAAATTTTCATAAAAGTACATTTATTGCTTTCCGCCACACCTTTTAAACTATTATGATGGGGTCACTTCCATGAACCCCCTGACCCCCCCATTTAATCTTCCTTATTTCCTGCCTCTAAACTTTCAGATTCTGTAAACAACCTGGTCTGATTAAGAATTGGTCAGAATAGCACTTCTCAACTTTGATATCCAGGTAGACATTATACTGCAGACAGTGGGAGAGAAAGAAGGATATTAAAGTGAAGATCCAGGAAGTGCACATAACCTGTCATCTGTCCTGTCCTGACAACCCATGAACAGTCCATGTCCACCCATGAGGTGCTGTGCATGTCACTGTGTCACCCCACCCTCACTCTTCCCAAAGAGTTAAGAACTATTAAGATAACACTCCTGTTCCATATTTGCTTGTTATTAAAATCAAAAGTTTGCCATTGAGTTATGAGTCAAACTGAGCTTTGATAAGCAAAAATAATTATGACACACAGTGATAACAATTTCCCTTGGAAAAGCATAAGTATTCATACATACTTTAAAATGGTATTAGATAAAACTCTTAGATGACTGAGATAGGCAGTATCTACATGTGATTTTAATGATCATAATAGTGTTGAGAAAGGTGATTTATAAATACACTGCTCCAAATTCTGATTTCTTGCCCCTAGGCTGGAGAGAGGCATCTAGCTTGAGGGCTCTCCAGTCTAAGCCCCAAGGTACATTTCACTTTTGCGGCCTCTAGGGCTAATGTGAGAAATGTTGTTTTGACATACAGCTTAAAGTGAAACAATTCATTAGAGTAGTTAAATAATTTGATTCTTTCTTATATATTGATGTCTCCTCTTGGTGTTTTTTTTTTAGGCTCTCTCAATCAAAATTTAGGATGGGGCCCCATTCTGGTGTCCCTTCAAGTTCCTGAGCTCACCATAGAAGAATTTCTGCAGGAGTGCCTAGCCCTTGGCAGTTACTTGACTCTTTATGTCTACCTGCTTCAGTGCTTAAATAGTGAGCAAACGCTGAGGAACGAAATGAAAGTGCTGCTCATCTTAAGCAAGTGGTTGGAACAGGTGTATCCAAGGTATCGTCCTTCTGGCCATTGTATCAAACTTGTTGCATTTGGTTAGATTGGAACTTAAGGCTTAAGTAAGCATGTATTTAAGTACACAGAACCAAGTGGTGCATAAAAACAAACAAGGTTATGAGGTACAGTGACACTTATTTTGGAAAGATTCTTACTTTGATGGGCCAATTTTCTGAGCAGGTTTTTTATTTCCTAAAGTAAGCATTTTGAAGCACCAAGCTTCAGCTTCCTTGTCAGTTAAGTAGAGATGAAAATCTCTACCTCATAGGGTTCTTATGAGGATTAATTGTAAGAACATAAAGCCCATACCCAGTGCCTTATATATAGTAAGTGTTCAATAAATGGTAGCTGTTACAATCCCATTACTTTATTGACATTATCACGTATTAGCCTAAGCTTTTCAAGTGTGAAATGTCTCCTATACTTAAAACTCGAATGTGGACTTTCAGTTAAATGGGAGTGGGAAGAATCCACTTCTAATTTTATGTTTTTCCGGTGCCTCCCTCCAGCTCCGTGCAGGAAGAAGCAAAGCTGTTTTTGTGGTGGCACCAAGTCCTGCAGCTGTCCCTGATTCAGGTGGAGCAGAATGACTCGATCCTTACAGAATCCATCATTCGAATTCTGCTCATGCTTCAGAGCAGGCAGAGCCTCGTGGCTGAGGAGAGGGTCAGCTCTGGGATTCTGGGGGCAATCGGGTTGGGCCGGAAGTCGCCCTTGTCTAACAGGTGAAGAAGCCCCTACCACTGCTATTCTAAATAGGTCTCAGATATTTGCACCTACTTAGAGGTTGTGATACTTGAGTCGTTTTTCAACTTAGGGACTAGGTTTCTTGAAAAGATTGAGGAAAAAAAATCAGAGCCTGATCACATTTCTGTATTGTAAAAAGCATGTTTGTTTTTCCTCACTTTAAAACAACTTTATGTTCAAACAGTATTTTTTTTAGTCGTATCTCTTGTGTTTTCACTTTGTAACCTGACTACACTACTGATTTCTTTTTGGTTTTTAGCCAGTGATGATGTGTGAGATTAGATTAAAATACCCCAGTTAGCTGCTTCATTGCAGGCACTTGATCATCATGCTGTGAGTTCAGGGAAATCTAGAACCTGTGAGAGACTCAGTCTAGTGGAGATGGGTTGAAGTCAGTTGGTAAGAAGCATAATTAAGAAACGAGTCTAGGTTTTTGTTGCTAAAAATCCCAAGGCGTGAAAGGATTGTTATTAGCCTCCCATTTTATCTTGTAATACTTATTTATATCATTGTTTTCTTTTCAAGCCCATGTCAGTGTTGAAAAGGGATCTCATACCATTCTGATGTGAGCATTCTTGTGGAATAGCCCTTCATGTTGTTGCAGCTTTGGGAACCACTCATTCCAAACCAGTTAACATCATGCTTCTTTGTTCATGGTAGAATTTAGCAGGACTGTGTGATTTTGTTTCACTTAAATTTGGCTTATGTGTCTTTTGTCAAATCAGGTGCTTTTATTCTTTTCTTTTTAATTGTGGTAAAATACACATAACTTAAAATTTACCATGGTAACCATTTTAATATGTACAATTCAGTGACATTTAGTTCATTCACAATATTGTTACAGCCATCACAACTATCTAGTTCCAGACTCTTTTCATCACCTCGAAGGGAAATCCTGTACTCATTAAGCAGTCACCTCCATTCCTTTCTCCTCCTGGTCTCTGGCAACCACTAATTGACTTTATGACTTTATGTATTAATCTTATTTTGGACATTTCATATAAATGGAATCATATAACCTGCAACCTCTTGGGTTTGACTTCTTTTACTTAGCATAAAATTTTCGAGGTTCATCTATGTTGTAGCATGTATCAGTATATCATTCCTTTTTGTGGCTGGGTTCCGTTGTACAGATATACTACATTTTGTTTATCCATTCATCAACCAATGGACATTTGGATTGTTTCAACCTTTTGGCTATGGTGGATAATGCTGCTACGAACATTCACATACAGGTTTTTGTTAGAACATCTATTTTCACTTTTGGGTATATACCCAGGAGCGGAATTTCTGGGTCATATGGTAACTCCATGTTTCACTTACTGAGAAACTGCCAAATTGTTTTCCATAGCACCTGCACGTTTACATTCACACCTGCACATTTACATTCCCACCAGCAGTGTACGAGGGTGCCAGTTATTCCACATCTTTGCCAACACCATCATTCTTGAACCTGAATTATGCATCCATTGTCTGGTTGGTAATTAAAGGGAAAATTAAAGCTCCTTCTACATCATATTTAAGATTTTCCTGAAGAGGCTAACAACACAGTAGATCTCTGTTTATCTTGTTTGTTTTTTTGTTTAAATAGAAAATATGGTGTTTATTTTTAAATGCTTCCTTTAACAGTCTTTTACTTCTTCTGACTTCCCTCTAACGCCTAAGGTTCCGAGTGGTCGCCCGAGGCATGGCCGCCTTCCTTTCAGTTCAGGTTCCTACAGAAGATCAGATCCGTTTGAAGCCTGGTTCTGAATTACATTTGACCCCAAAAACTCAGCAGGTCAGTAAAAACAGATTTACTGGGTTAGAAGTTTTCCAACACAGCTTCCCCAGAAGGTGGAGAGGTGGCAACTGTAGCCTGTACTCACCATGATATGATCCTCTCTGGTAGCACAGTGTTCTCTTTTGTGTGCTCTATTTATTGGAAAATGGGTACCACATGTGCCCACCTCAGATTTTAAGCCTATTTTTATAGGCACTTGCCTGGATCACTGTTATTATCGTTGTAGAAGAAGTAAGGCCATGGGCAAGCCAGTCTAGGATTGAACTTGGTTTTGATGAGTGTGAATATGCACCGAGTTGCCACAGGCTGGGGCCAAGGGCTAGTGCAGAAGATGCGGCCATAGTTGAGATGAATGGAAATTAGCTGAGTTGTAACTTGGAACCAACGAAGTAGTTCCTGTTTTGTGAGTCTGAAGGCTGACCACTGTTGGCTGATGCTGGAATAACACAAACAAAATGTGAGAAATAACTGTTCTAAAAACCTGGAAGGCCATGTGGCAGTGGTCCCATTCCTATAACTCTGTTTCTCACCTATAAGGCCAGCCAGGTACTGAGGTTCACAATATGAAGTGATGGCTAGCATTCTTGACTGATTACTACATGCCAGGCACTGTGCTAAGTTTTAACTCACTTCACGTTAATGAATTAAATTTTTAGTTCATTTAATCCTCATAATAATAGTTCCTATGCTACAGGGTTGTTATTATCCTGGTTTCATGGATGAGGAAACAGAGACAGAGAGAGACTAAGTAATTTGTCCCAAATCACACAGCTAGTAACTTGGGGGCTGGGAGCCCGCAAATTGGCCAGTGTGGCTCCAGGCTTCCCCACCTGCCACTCCACGGGAGTGTCTCTGTCAAGTGGTAAGAACTTAGACCCCACAGCTCCTCTTCTCATGCAGCTTTGTAATGTCTAAGCCAGCCACGTGCCATGTGAGGTCTTGGTTATTAAGAGCAAGGATCAGATGGTTTGATTGGCAGGTTCTTCACAGGGATCTCAGTTTATAAAATACCTGATACTTGTCACTCACTGACTAGACAACTGCTGTTTGAATCCCTGTTGTCTTACAGGAAACATCTTGGGTGGGCAGATGAGTCTTCCAAGGGCAGGTTGTGAAGTCCGTGAGATGCATTGCAGGAAATACTGGAGAGGTGTTCAATGCGTTTAGCTGTGGTCACAGCTCACCCATGCCCTGCCTCTCTTTGCCTGTACTTCTTTAGACTTACAGTGATGACTCCCTGTATGTCTTATGCAAACTTGTCATCAGAATTTTCAGACTTGAAAAATGTCATCTTTTTATAAAATGATTAGTCTTAGGCAAACTGTCAAAGTGGGCCATTTGGGGGACTAAATTTAAACAAAAGAAAGGGAGGGGAGAGAGACAGAGGGACACCATGGTTCATGGGAGTACTGTCTCCATTGATTCATGTTCTTAGATTAAATTCTGTTCACAGAGCTCTTAATTTGGTACCAAAATCCCTTAAGTTATTTATTTTTAACTCTAAGACTTATATCTATAGCATGCCTGGTAATTTATTTCTAGGCTTCCAGTTCATTTACCATCCTCAAAAAACTACTTCTTCCTTGTTTTCGGAACTAAGCAAATTCCATCTTTTAATATATATTCTCCATTGCATTGGTTCCCATAAATGGAAAGGGAGGGTGTGGTGGGTCTGCCCCAGTGGGGAGGGGAATGTGTTCAGAATCCTTGGAGTAGATGAGCTCGTGCAGTTGGTAACAAAATCCCTACCCCCAAGAACTACTGTTCTGATTTTTTTTTCCCCTCCATATACAGTCTCTTCTCCTTCTTTTCTCCTACTATGAAGGGAGGAAAAATTAAAATTATGGAATCAAATAATACTTTTATTTATTCCTCAGAAGAGGGGTATGGGAACGTTTTCTTCCATCGATTCTGTGCCATTTGTCAGATGGAATCAGAAGGAACTTGGTCTGTGCTTTATGCTTGTTGACCTTGTTGTTTACACTCAGCAGCACGTAGCAACTGGTTTCTTCAGAATTCCATTTAGTTAGACACTTTAATATGACATTATTTTGTAACATAAGAACAAACCCAATAGCAAGTCAAACAGGTGTCATGGAAATGCAGCTGGTGCCTGTGATTTCCAGTTGGACTTTAGGAAGAGAGGGAGCAGATGATTGGTGGAGAGGACCCCACAGGTGGGACAGGGGAGAAGAAGACCAAGGCAGGCTCAGAAATGGGCACGGCAGATCAGGAGTCCAGCAGTAAGACCAGCCTCCACAGCAGTGACTCTTGGCAAGGAAGGATTGGGAAATAGCTGGAGTCAAGAAGAGGAAAGACTGGATGTAATGTGGAAGGCTACAGAGAAGCTGGGTTGCTGGACTCCTTTGGGTTGTGGTTCATCAGTGCCTGCTTCCAGACTCCTACTTCTAGTTCTGTGTGCTTGCTTCCCTTGAGGCTCACCGTTGGACCAGATAATAATGTTAGATGTGCTGTGTTAATCAAGGTATGTGCATCTATGGAGTTAACCTTCTCTTTTTCCGTGTCTTTTAGGCTCTGAACACTCTTGAATCCATGACATCAAATAAGCAGTATGTTGAATACCAGGATCAGATATTGCAAGCTGCCCAATTTATAAAACATCCTGGCCATTGCCTCCAAGATGGGAAAAGCTTCCTGGCTCTTCTCATTAACTCTCTCTACCCAGAAGTGCATTATTTGGACAACATACGATAGTCCCGCTGAGGCTCTTGGAACCCCGGTGCCGTTTATGTTTACATGTAACTTTGCTGTTGCATGAGGAACTATACTTGATTTTGCTGCAGAGCTCAGTTCAGCCACGGAGTAGGCAATTGACTGAGATGCAAGTCAGGAGGCATTTGATAATTCTGTGTGTGTGTGTGTGTGTGTGTGTGTTTCTTAGCTCTTAAAACTTCTGTGTGTGTGTGTGCGTGTGTGTTTCTTAGCTCTTAAAACTTCCTTTTTAGCTTTTATGTTCTATCCTCAAGAGAAACTTGCTAAGTTCCAGTTGGGTACAGAGCCACCCACAGTTGCTGAATGTCCTGTCACAGGACCTCCAGATGGGGTACTTTGTATGTCTCAACTTTTGCCTCCCCTGTTTTAGTTAAATGTCAAGACTCCTGTGCCAGGTCTGACTGTTTTAAGAGTCACGGAGAACCCTTGCTTTCACCCCTGTTTGTGTTCCTCCAAGTAAAAATGTCAACTTGAAAAATTTCGACATTTGTCAAATGCGGGGAAATAAGATCAGCTTAAAAGTATTATGTTATTTTTCTCAGAAGGGAGATTAAAAATGCGGAATGAAGTGAGTCATGTGATCCTGACTCTAGTGCACAGCAGAGATTGTGACGAGTCCATCTCCATCCAGCATGAGTCCTCATAAAGGAGCTACCTGTCTGAATCGGTGGCACGCTGGCAGTCTGTGATGAGCATGCTGTGCACAGATGTATTTTGTTTGGTTCACGTTGCGGGGAGTGCAGTCAGGGCTGACTCTGCAGTCACCAGAATCCCTACAGACCCTCGGGTTCTACCCCCAGCCATCCCTCACATCACTTACTCTGCCCCTTCGACATTTCGGTTTGCAACTCTTCATAGACACCGAGTTTGGTCTCTGAAGGCCCCACCGTAGAGAGAGATGACAGCCTAAAGATTTGGTTCTCTATTCTCTGCTTGTTTCTTCACTCCATATTTAAAATTGAATGAAGCTAGCGGACCTGCCGAAACACTTGTCCACGGAAACTGGGTCAGGTCAGGAGAATTACAGAAATTTGGCTTTTTCTCAGTGGCCACATGCCTTCTGTTGTTGCTAACAGTTCATTCATTACCAAAGCCTGTCTGTGACATTGCCTTGTTCTGTTTTCATCTTCTTGCTCATGTTATTTCCCCCAGGAATTAGCAATTTGACTTCTGTCATCATATTTATAATTCTGTTGGCTCAAAATGGGTTTTGTCTACCTTACATAATGTGTCTTTGTCTGAAGGTTGTCTGTAGTCCAAGAGTATTTACCTAAAAATGTCTAAACAGCCACTAAGAGCCTTTAGTAGAGGGAAAGAGATACCATTACCAGAGTGATAACTGCTTCTCAAACATCCTTTTGGAGTGCTTCCAACATTGGGAAGTTTGTAGGAGAGCTTTATTTTGAACTTTTTTAGTTGGACAGAAGAGTTCTGCCTCACTGAACTGCTTTGGAGCTCTGATAAAGAACATCCGTGTTCAGTGTGAGTTTTGCAGGCCACAAAGTGTCCATCTCAGAGGGACGTGTCTCAGAATGCCTTGTATTTGCTTCTCTCCACTTTCAAAATCAGTCATCTTCTCATCTTGTGTATAAGAAAATTTTAGAAGCTGTGGACAGTTTAATTGACTGATTTGGCAGCACTGACTTTATGACAGGAAATATTTTGTGTGCTGTTTTCTTTGAGGAGGATGTAATTATCGATATCCTAGAATGTGAAATTTTTGAGTGACAGTATGTACATTTTAAAGAAAATTATGATTTGTTAATTTTAGAAGTTTATAATATTTATAATTTATTTAGTCTGTAAAAATTATGAAAAATAAAATCAATCTTTGGTTATCATTGATAAGAATCTGAATTACAGGGCTATCCCGCAGTCTTGTATTCAGTTAAAATTGATGTAGACATTTATGCCTGATGTCATCTCATTTATTTGACACTGTAACCTGATTACCAGAGACGGTCAGGAAAAGTGCTTCCTCTTTAACTCCTTCAGGCTTAACATTAAAGGTTTACTCATCTCCTAGGTTCCTGCAAGAAGCTAAAGCTTTAAAGATACTGAGATAGTTGAGATCATGACAACACTGCTGTGGCCCCCTGGGAGAGAAGGGTAGCAGATGGACAAACCTGCCCTTGACTTGTAGGAGTAACAAGCCTTTGCTTGAAAAAACTGTTGGCCTCCAGAAAGCGCGGGGCTGCAGTTTCAGAGAAAGGGATGGGTGCTGCATGTCGATATTGGGATCCAGCAAGGCCAAGGCCTGCCTTGTGGGCCGAGCAGTGTGGAAGGTGAACTGCTGCACACTCTGGCCCATCCTGCACAGTGGTATCTGGCTCTGATAAGGCTGTCCAGCAGCTTCCTGGGAGCAGGAGGAGGCAGCGTTCTGGTCTCAATGGAAAGTGCCTTTTTGCTTCTCCATTCATCACTTCCCACCCTACAATGCACAGATGGGTCACAGAAGCAGACTTGGTTCCCCATCTCCCCGCTCCACCGCCTAACTAGAACAAGTGAAGGTCAGAAAGCTGGAAGGCACAGGATGTTAAATGGTAGAGGTCCTGCTGGATATGTCTGCACAGTGTAGCAGTAGCCGGTGGAGCCAGGACTCGCCCGTACCTGGTCTCCAAGCTGCTACACACTCCTGACCTCAGCTCCAAAGCATGACTCGCTTCTTAGTTTCATGAGCATTTGGTTGGCTTGGCCACCTCTACCTTCCTGGGGTTGTGCCTGGTCTCTCAGTTCTTTGAGGTTGGGGGAAGGCTAGTCCAGAAAACGGAAACCCACAGACCAGCCTAACTACCTTCATTCAAGTGACAGCCCAAATCAGTGTGTCCATGTTGTACAAGTCAATAGTGTTTACGCTCTTCTTCCTTTTGAATAATACAGTCTTTCATTGGGTTTCTATTCCTAAAATCATTCTGGAACAGGCAGCAAATGTCCTAGAATCATGGACTTTTAAAGCCAGAAGGGGCATTAAAAGTCATCTAGTCCACCTTTCCCTCGGCAGGGATCCTCCAGCCTCTCCTCTGCCCCGTCCAGTGACTGGTAGTTCAGCCCCTGCTGGCAATTCCAGGCTGCCACTGGCGGGCTCTATCTGTAGTTATGCTCACACCGAGCTGAGCTCCTCCTGGCAGCTCTGCCTATTGGTTGTGGTTCTGCCTGCAGCAGTCCAGGCTGGGCTGCTCTCCTACCCCCTCATGACACATCTTCAGATATTCTTAGCTCTCGTCACTTCCTGCCCCCACCGGCTTCCCCACCACTTAGTCCTCTTCAGGCTAAATGCCCCAATGTCTGCAGTTAGTCCTCTTCCACCACATGTCCAACAGGGCTGCACTTTTAATCCATGTTATCCTAAAAGGGATGTGCCCAGGCTGAGCAGGCCAGGACTATGGCGAGATGAGTGAGATGCCTAGGGCACACATTCAAGCAGGCATATGCTTGCAGGTGCCAAGAGAGGGTGCTTGTCACATCCTGTGCCCTTGGTGCCTCACTTGCCTTATGCTGTCCCTGGCTTGGGATGACAGTCACACCAGTGTGGACACTTGGGTGGCACTGGCTTTCAGTAGCTGTGACTTGTGGTTGGCATATTAAACTAGTGGCGATTTCAAATTCCAGACCTCAATTTAATATGTTGCTGCTGAAGACTAGTCTCATGCCGTATCTGCAGGATGGGCCTAACAATAAGGCACTTTGCACTCGATCCTTTACTACTGTCTGCTCTTCATTTTGGGCCAACTTACATCTTATTTTGAGGTAGTAGCTGATTGTTTTTCTGGTCAGTTAACTTTGTCTTATTAAGCAAAATGGAGAATACGATGTTGGGAAATAAGCACGTGTCGCTTTTTAAAAAAGTGTTCCCTTCTGTGCTCTTCCATTTGCATGCTGGGGACAGTTACCGCCTTACAGCCAGGCACTAGTGCTGACTTTGTTCTAGTCCGTGAGCATACTCTGGGTTCTAGGCTGCCTCAGGCCTCATGTGTCCTGCAGCAGCTGTGTTTGAAATTTCTTTCACTCTGGATGGGTTCCTGCTTCCTGATGACAATAACTTGAAAATTAAACTACTAATCCTATTTTGAGATAATGAAATCACGAAGAAGTGTTATTTTTATTGTACTTATTGTACTTATTTTTTAATGTACAGATATCTTTCATTGAGCATTGAGAGTTAGAATTTATTCTTTCAAATGGTTTAAAATGACTTATGTGGAGACAAACACTTTTTAAGTGTGTTCAATTCTTCCTTCCTACATGTCTAGTGTGCACTTTAAAAACCACAACTTTATTTTGGTCATTAAATGTGCAATATTCAGCATTTTATGTACTTGTGTAAAGTATGAGTTTTTATATAATGGTGAGAAATAGGAAAAAATGAGAATGGGTTAAGTAAAATTCTGCAAATAAACTAGGTTCAAATTTAATTTACAACATGGCAGGTCTGTCTTGTTGCTTTTGGCAAGTTGGTTGGTCTTTTCATACATAAACCACACTAAGAAAAGTTTTAAATTAGAAAGCTTGTAATGGGTAGAATATTCTGTTTCATTATAATGGGTGAGGCCTCTAATTTCAAAGAGAATTTATAACTTGGGCATTTAAGAATTGGCATAGACAGGAGGCCACCTGGTAATCCCAGAGAAGTCAAGAGAGCCTCCCTCAGGTCTGTCATGTCACCTCAACTTTGGTAGGAAGAGAACCATAAAATTGCACAGAGGCTCCCAGCCTGAGTTGTGATGGGGTGGGGGCTGGGGGTGCCTCTGGGAGGGGAGAGCTATCTGGAGGCCAGTGTAACCTGAGCTTGGTCAAGTTCTGTTGGAGAAATCCACCTTCAGCATTGGGAAGCCAGGCAGTTCCTCTTTAGTGTTAATTTCATTAACATTTGTAAGACACCTTGAATGTGCCAAGGTGTGGTAGGAGGGCTGCACATTCAATTTGGGTTTAACATCAGTTTGGGATTCCCCAGGGACAGGACCTTTTAAGTGTGGGGTGTGCCTCCCCATCCTTGTCTGGGTGTGGCTTCTTTTTCCAGATAGAGCCATGAGACTGAAGGGTGGGAAAGTGGCACATTGTCCCACCTCCTTTTAGAGTAGGAATCAAGTTCATCATCTCCAGACCAGTAGGCATTTTTGTAGGGACACTCCCCTAAAGAAACACCACTTGGAGGTGGTCCGTGCTGCCATGAGGCAACTCAGAAAAGGTCTTCATCTAATGATGAAGGAGCTCAGATCTTCCAAAAATTGCTTTTCTTCTGAAGACAGACCTCTTTCCTCCTGGTCTTCGTTTGCCTAAACCTTCTTAGGAAAGAGACCCACCTTCCTGGTCATAGTAAACCAAAATGGACTCTGGCCTGGACACCATGTTTTAATATACCCTTAAATTTGTAGCTTAGGCCAGATTTCCCTTGCAATCTCCCAGCCTTCCCTGTTTGACTTTCCTTCTGCTGCTTCCTCAATATTTCTTAAGGGCCCTCATTCTACTACCTCCACTTTCCCTTCCTCTGTGTCCTTAGTTTCCCTTACCCCACCCCCTCCCTCCTCCTCAACCTTCAGGTCACAGCTGCTTCTGGTGAAAGTGTGGGGCCAATGTCTCCACGAGGACTCTCCTGGGAAATCTTCAGCTCTGGGGGCCCTTTGAGATCACAAGCAGACAGGACTTGGGATAGGCTGTGGAGGACAAGGTCTGGGGTCCTAAACCCTGGAACTTACTACTGCTTAAACATCATGCTGTGTCCAAAACAAAGGGTCTTTGCTCAGACTGTCCCTTCTGCTCAGAATGCCCTTATTTTGCCTCCCAACCTCCATTCTCTGCCATGGCTTCCCCCGTTTGCACGGCCAATGTTGCAGCATCTCCATGTGTCCTCCCCTCCTCCAGGAAGCCTTCCCAAAACAGGGTCACTTACCCATTTTATGTGCTCCCACAGAGCCCCTAGCTACTTCTTCTGGCCAGTGAACTATGAGCACAAGTGGAAGGCCCTCCAGAGCTTTTTTTTACCTCCAACCCAGAAATCCACAACATTAGAGATGGTGGATCCCTGGGAGCTGGGTCCCAAGTAACAACAATAAGCAAAGACCACCTTGCTGATCTGTGATGGGCATGTAGCTTTGATTTGGGGCTTGTTATCATAGCACAGCCTAGCCCACCCTGACTGACACACATGCCTTATTCATGTTTGTATACCTGAACAGCTTGCCCAATTCCTAGCATAAAGCAGACACATAAGGAATAATTCATATCACATTTTTTCTTGGCTGTGCCACTGGCCTGAAAGACCAAGCAGATGTTCCAACACACATTACTCCTATGTCCTTAACTTCTTCCTTGGTGACAGGACTCTCCAGGAAGGTGTCCAGGAGTATCCCTGTACAAGGAGGTACAATTGCCAACTCCTCTGACCTCTTAACAGCTCAGACAGGCTTCTGATTGGATCCCAAGTCAACCATGAGCTGCCATCACAAACGTGCCCTGGAGAAGGCTCTGGCAAGGAGAGAAGCCTTTTAACGTACTGTCCTGCTTAGTAACTTGAGAAGATCTCTCAACCTTTGGGCCATCTCCCCAGAAAAGCATCATAGCCTCTTTAGTTCCCTATCCTGTATCCCCTTATCTCTTGCCAGCCCACCAGGGTCCCAGGCACCCCTTCTCTCCCAGGAGCTAATATGATCAACACATTCACACTGAAGTATAAATTGGGAAGGCAGCATCCCCAAAGTCAGCCTGCCTAGACTTGGGCAAATGGGCTGAAATTGCCAGTGCTTTTGGACTTTGCACATCCTGGGAAGATGTAGGTCATGCAAAGTGGTCACAGCTGTCGCTGCTTTACCCTTGAGGACCCTGCAGCCCAGTCTTCCCCTCAGGTCTCCCAGTTTTCAGTCCTTTAGGCAGTGGTTTGTAGATTCTTTGAGATGATGGGTGTTTGGTTTCCTTTTCTCAGGAGTCCCAGCTCAAGGCAGTGTGGAGCAGCCAATGTGCTGAGAAGTGAGCAGAGGGGTGGAACAGTCACAGTGGAGACCCAGGAGGCAGGACTCCAGGCCTCTCTGCATTGCTGAGTTTCCAGGATTTGATGTTCCTCTGATCGCAGGTCTGCACACCCCCAGCCCCAGGCTTGCTCTCTATAACCTGTTCTCCGCAAGGTTGATATGGGTGCCACACTTATCCAAGGACTCTGTACATCCAAAGGTCACACATCTTGCAGATGTCTTTGTATTTTCCAAAGCCCCTTCCCATCTGTTGTTTTCTGAGATCTTCATAGTCCTACCAGCCAGGAGAGAAGAATGTTATTGTCCATATTCAACAGTGGGTGAACTGAGACCCAGAGATGTGAAGAAAGTGTCCCAGTCCATACAGCAAGTTGGTGTCAGAGTAGAATGGAAGCTGGGCCTCCAGACCCTCTGACCAGTTTCTTGTCTGCTTGACTATGGTGTTCTAGATAAGGAAGGGTGAGGGGAATTTTCAGAAGTTTCTGGCTGAGGCTCACATGTGCATACCTACATGTACATGCACCTTCTTTCAAACTGCGGCCCCACTGGCATAAGTATCATGGGGCCCCGAGACAGATGTCCATGTAGGAGACCAGCTGAACCTCTGTGAGCAAGGTCCGACGCCCTTGGGTGTTGCCTGGATAGGGGCTGCCAAGGTGCTCAAGAACAAGAAGGGCCATAGGAGCCTCACCCCAGTCTTCATTCCTCACAGCGCACAAATGGATGCTGGTGGCCGAGGGGTGCCTAACGGGGAACACGCAGTGGCCGGTCGGCGCTGGGGGTTCATCTGACTCAAATTTTCATAACTGGACTCCTGAGCCTGGGGCCTGCAGACAGGAAAAAGTTGACTGACCACCTGATACAGAGGGGAGGTCCTGACTGCCCACACCGTACCCAAGCAATGGGCCAGGAAGGGGAGATGAGATGGGGGCTGTGGGGCTACAACCAGCAGGGCTTGGAGACCAACAATGTCAGGGGCAGAATCAGGAGCAGGGAGGGGCTGCCATGAGTGACAGCATCCAGACTGCACAGTTTCTCCCTTCTTGAAGGGGTCTTGTATGAGGCTCCAAAACCATCTTCATGTCCCGGACCTCTAGACTGATGTCTCCAGGCCTGACCTCCTTCCTGATTCTCTCCTGGGACTTCCTAATGGCCATCTCAAACCTAAATGTCCACCATACTTTGCATGATCCTGACACCTCACCTACTCTCTTCTCCCCTCTGCATCCCAGTAGTGGCACCCAGGGCTCAGGCTCTAGCCCTGGGCATCCTGGCTCCTGCCTCACAGCGTGCTGCCCACAGCTCTCCCACCTCTCCCACCGCTCCCACTGCTGCCTGTGACCAAGGGGCCAGGACAG